ATTCCTCTCTGGGTTTGGCATGATTAGTCAGCCATGTTGACTGCCTTGTGGCCTGGAGCCCCGGGAATGAGGGAGGGGCGGGGAGAAGATCTATATTTTGAATGTCTCTGGAGCTCGGCTTCTAGTACAAGTTTAAACATGTATTCTAAAAGAAGTTTTATATTGCAGTGTTTAATTTGTTCATCCATGACTTCTTTGTGGCTTACCTGGTTTAGTTCTGAAATTTGTCATACAGGGTCAAATTGGGAGATCTCAGTTTTTGGTTGACCTAAAATTTTTGTTTGGCTTGGATGTCTGGCTTCATAACCCAGTGGTTAACATAATGTTCTGGGTCAGAATATTATTCATATTTAATTTTTATATGTGAATATTTTTTTCATGCACACCTATAGATATTAGTGAATATTCCTTCCTTCTCAAAGCAGGACTATCATTTTTGTTATCCAGTACAATGATTGTGTATTTATAGATGTATTCTGTGTAGAACATAATATATATTATATACAGTAGCTGGAGATGCAGCCATTGTTCCAACAGGAATCTTACGCCATGTTAAACAAATATCAGCTGCTGGTGGCAAAGGAAGAGATGGAAAAGGTGGACACTTTGCGCTATGTCTGGGAGAAACTGCTGGTCCGGGGCAATGAAGTGCAGAATGAGCTAGTAGCTTTGCAGCCCAAATTCCGGGGTGAGCTTATTAGCACTGTGGAGACTTTCATTGAAGACTGTGACCAATTTTATGCAGATTATGACAAGGTATTAATATTTGCTGTATTTCAAAAAAATTGGGAGGTTGGGGGACAGGGTTTGGATACATGTTCAATATAGGGAAAAAATTACTTGGAGAGAAGGATAGGTCCATGATATCAGAAGAATGCTAATCCTTGTAAATGCTGTTGTGTTCATCCTGAAGAGTGGGCTGTATGTATAGTATGTAGTCACTGGGATGTCAGATGATCACTGCACTCTTCTGAGCAAAATACCTCCTCATGAGGTCTGTCTTCCTTTGTTTTTCTGGTCTGCCAAACACTTCACCATTATCCCTATACATTTTGTAGTTCCTAGTTTCTTTTCCTTTAAGCATTAAGAGCCTCCCATCCCAGGCTCTGGAAAAACAACTAACTAACTTTACCCTATGATTAGGATTCATTGAAATCAGCAGATCAGTGTTGGAACCAATAGAAAAGTCAAGCAAAGTCCATTCTGAGTTGGAGCAGACCAGTTGATGATATTCGGCTAAAGTAGCTAGTTAATGCCTACCTCTTGAAAACAAAAATAGAATCAATTAGTGGATACAATAATTTTAAGTATAAAAAATATTTTCATACTTTTTTTGGCAGATGAGGATCTTTGTGTGAATCTTATTGACCCAAAGAACCTTGTCTGCCTATGTCCTTAGACCAGCACAGTTACAACCTACACCCCTTAGTACCTTTTTGTCACCCTTGATCTTTCATCAACACTTCATGGTGCTGATTTTTTCAGGGACTTGCCAGTGATATTAAATTGTTAGATATGAACAAATACAATAGACTTCTATTCTAGAAAATTAAGCTGAAATTTGTTTGCCTGGGATAAACTGTGAAATTGTTTTTATTCTTTATATTCCAGAATGGACCAATGGTAGTAGGTTTGGAGCCCCAGGAAGCCAATGACAGGCTGATCATGTTCCAGGTACTCATTGTTAAGTTGGAAGATAAAATGTGCTGCTCCACTCTGTGTTTAACAATATATTTTAATATAATAATAAAAATGAATATGCTTATTTAATAGCTAAAATCCACTTAATTAAGCCTACTGGTAACAAAGTTGGAAAATAGATCTGTGTATTATGATGGGGTAATCAAAGAAAAGAGAAAATATTATCAGACACTTGCTAATATGCAGTTTAAAGGCAGGATGTTTGAAATAACACATAATTACTATGTCCAGGTGTCTGCATAATGATGTTGAAGATATTTGCTGGCATGTCTAGCCATGCTTTTGTTCTTCCTTCTTGCTAAAATACTACTTTGACCTTGATTAGTTACTGCCCTAAAGATGGCAGTTTGCTTCTTTTTAACACTTCTCATTAAATACAGTCTGACATCAGAGGTCAAATCTTGGTTTTACTACTCTCATGTGAATAACCTTCTTTTTCTTGCTAGTTGGTTGGGGTATAATGGTCCCCTACTCAAATCCCTTTCTTGAGACAAGCTCAAGATAACCTTGCTCACAATGTACAACCAAAGAGCCATACCTCAGTGCTGTCTTCAGTCCTCACTGCTGTTCCTGCAATAGCCTTGGCATCATAGTTTTTTAGGCTAACACTCACTACTATGAGGACTTCAAACATGCATATTATTGACAGTTGTATTTTTATTTAAGCATACCTTTTTAAGATTTGACCATTGTCCACTTCTTGCTATGGGTTCCTTTGCTGCTTAGCCACTATTTTAGATAAGTTGCTTTGGTATTTGCTCTTTTCTATGGTTCTAACCCTAATTTTGGCCCTTTTTTATTGTAGAACAGATTTGAGAACCTCTTCCGAAAATATATAACTTATACAGGTGGAGAAGAGCTCTTTGGTTTGCCTGTCACACAGTATCCTCAGCTACTTGAGATAAAGAAGCAGCTGAACTTGCTACGGAAACTGTACAGCCTGTATAATAGTGTCATTGACACTGTCAATGGCTATTATGATATTCTTTGGTCAGAAGTGAATATTGAGAAAATCAACAATGAACTTCTAGAATTTCAAAATGGGTAAGACTATTTGAATATTGTACAGCTAACGCTGCCTGTGTTTTCTACTGTTTGAATATTGATATTAATTCCTCTTGAACCTATTTGGATTAGTAATTCTTGCTTTTTAAAACTATTTCTTTTGGCACTGGCTTTTACCAGATTTGGGGTCACTTACCAATGGATAAATTCAGGTTTGTTCCTTGAAAAATTTCATTAAATAATTAATTTTGCTTACTTGAAGCAAGCAACTGAATTAGGAACTGATGATTCCCTTCTCTGGAATAGGATATTTATGGCTTCAAAATGTGATTGAAAAGACTTTCCATCTGAAAACTTGTCTTATGTTAACTAAGGGTTTCTTCCTGACTTAGTGCTGGATAGGCATACCCTAAAATTATCCGAGTTGAACAGAAAGCACTTAATTACTCTTTGGAGAATCAATCCTAATACCCTTGTACAAAAGGGTGGAGTAGTTGAGGGAATTTTTGTACCCAATAGACTTATTGGGAATATGGTCAGAGGAGAAAAGGGGAAGGACATATTTGAGAAGGCTGAGTTATTTTTCAACATTTCCAAAAATAAGATGCATGATGATTTGACATCCTTGTTATTGAATGTCCAAAAGGTAACCAAGAATAATATTAAACAAATGCAGTTTTCCACCCTTGTTCATGTGGCCAGGTTATGATGGATGATCTATTAATGTGAAGTGGCTCATTTCATGGAGTGCGAGATAAATACAAAGAAGCTAATGGTAAAGAGGCACTTGCATTTTATGGAAGCACAGGTGGATAATGTCAAATGCAGATGATAGCATCAGTTCATAGGCAGTTGAATAGTGATGAAATAAACAGTTTATCTTAAATGCCATTTAAAAAAAAAAATCCAGGAACCTTAAAGTACTCTGAATTATAGGAATGTATGTTGCATCATAGTTAAAGCCCTAAGTAATCTTGAACAATTAATGTCATAAAACAGCCTAAACTTTTTTTAAAGGTAATTTATTGTTTAATGCACAGATGTCATAAGCTTCCTCGAGCTTTGAAGGAATGGCAGGCATTTCTGGACCTAAAGAAGACGATTGATGATTTCAGTGAGTGCTGTCCATTGCTTGAGCTAATGTCTAATAAAGCAATGATGGCTCGACACTGGAAGCGAATTACAGATCTTACTGAACAGAGTTTTGACGTAGAAAGTGAGAGCTTCAAACTGAGGAATATCATGGAAGCACCTCTGCTGAAATACAAAGAAGAGATAGAGGTACAGATTGGAATGGAACTGAAATATACTGGTATCGTGTGATTTCCTGCGACACTGCTTCCACACTTGAAACAAAAGGCAGCAGAACATGCTATTATTCATTCTCCACTGTGCACAGACTTGAATACACAATGACACTGGTGATCAATATCTCACTCCTCTGGTTCACCTTGAAGGTTTCTGATAAAATGCTTATGACGCATCACAATATATTTAAAAACAAACTAAAGGTTTCAGTGGGATACTGCTAAGGGATTAAAAGCTGTGCAGGTAGCACATTTCTTACTGTTCAGGCAGTGAGTATTGTAACGGCTTTTCTCCTTCATCCTAGTTTAAGGAGTTCAGTAAAAGGCATCATGAGGTGTGTGCTCTTGTATCACCCCTGTCATCTTTGTCCTTGAGTTGAAGGCAGAAGCTAGGGTTTGCCTGCAAAAAATAAGGAGTTCTGCAACATTGCATCTAACTCATTCAGTGTTCATCCAGTGTGCTGACTGCTTCAAAATGCAGACATTCCTAGATAAGCTGTTTCTAGCATCAGTACGCCTAAGTTGTTTCAGAAAAGCTTGTTGGTACCTTTTTCTTTTTTTAGGTTTACTATATTTAGTTGGTCAAATGAAGAGAACACATAGTTGAACTATGGATTCTTGAATTTGAGGTGAAGAAACTTCTCACATTAATATACTATTTTTATTTTACAGGATATCTGCATTAGTGCTGTAAAGGAGAGGGACATAGAGCAAAAGCTAAAACAAGTGATTGTTGAGTGGGACAACAAAATATTCACCTTTGCCAACTTTAAAGCCCGTGGTGAACTGCTCTTAAGAGGAGACAGCACTTCAGAAACAATTGCTAGCATGGAGGATAGTCTGATGATTCTGGGTTCTCTCATGAGCAACAGGTAATGGTAGAAAGACTTGCAGACTAACAGATGACTTATAGGACCAAGTTGGCTTTCCTAAAGTAGATGGAAACATAAGATTGTGTGTGTGTGTGGGGGGGAAAGACACCATCAGTTATGAAAGCTACCCAATACAGCTGAATGACTTCTTCCCCCTAGATGTTATTGTTAGTAGGCTTTGTAAGTACAAATACTAATACATCTGAAGCAGGTTGTTGGATTGCACCTAACAGTAACTATATTCTTGATCTGTGCACCTCATTACATTCTTTATTTTGGAGACTTAATTTTGAGCATTAAGTCTTTTGTATATATGACAGAAAGTATATGACTTGGGTATATAATGATTTCTGAGTTAAGATTAAATAAATAATCCATGTTAAATTTTTATTTATAATTAGAAAACGAGGAATTCTTATCAGATGTTCATTTTTATTGAACTGATTGATTAATTAATTTTGATTTGGTCCATTATGAAACTTGCTAAAATAGTGTTGCTTCTAGGTCTTGACTCAAAATTTTAAGGAAAACTGGTTGGTTGGCTCTTTGCGTTGCACATTTTCTTTAATAAGGAATCTTATAATCTTGGTGCCTCTATTTGAGAGGTAGAGATGATTATCTCAGGTCCTGAAGGTATTCATCATTGATTATCAGAAGAGGACAAAACATTTGTTGAAGGGCCTGAAAGGGGTCTTGTAGGACCATAGACCAGGGTGTGGTCAACTATTGAGATGACTGATTAGCTGCTGTGCAAAGAACTACATAAGCGTCAAAAGAGCTGAATTTAACAATCCTCAGGGTGGTCTGAGTCAGCCAGTTATATGAACCTGAAGCTTTGTCTTGGACAAATATTGACCCAAAATGGTTGATATCTATTGAAGTGTACAAGTGTACAAGTGTAGACGGTTGTCATAATAGGCATCCAAATCTCTTATCATGAAGTTCACCTTTGCAATGCATTTTCCCTGAAGAGAGATGCCCCGATAATAAAGAGTCCCCCACAATGTAATGTGGGTAACAGGGATTGCCCCCCCAACCTGGCAGGAGCTGATGAGTGCACAGCTTTTTTTTTTTTTCCTTCTTTAAGTGCCAGGACTCTGGGGCTGGGTGGGGCAGCCATTGATGGGACTGGGACAGTGGGCAGGGAATGGGGCCTGTTCAATTCGGAGATTCAGCTGATTCAGCAGTGGCCAAATCTCTGAATCAGATTCAGCTGAATTGATTTGGGACAGTGATTCGAATAGCTGAATTGAATCGCTGTCCCCTGGATTGGCTGAATCCAAATTCAAAGCAAATACTAGCCACTACTCACAGGCCTACTGTCCAACTTTACTCTTGAAAATTTCTGAGGATGGAAATTCCATAACTTCTTTAGGTAGCTTGTTCTGCATCATAGTTAGAAAGTTCCCCTTAATTGCCAACATAAATTTCCCCTCCTGCAGTGTGTGGCCATTGTTCCTAGTTCTGTCCCCTAAGGCCACAGAGGAAAGCCCAGCTGCATCTTTTTTTGTAATCACCCTTCAGGTATTTGAAGACTGTTACCAAATCTTCACTTCACTTCAGTCTTCTCTTTCCCAGACTAAATAACCCTAGTTTGTTCAACCTTTCCACATAAATCTTCCTTCCCATGCCCCTAATCAGTTTTGTCACTCTTGGCAGGATTCTTTCCATCCTGTCCACCTCTTTCTTGAAGTGCGAAGCCCAAAACTAGATATGATATTCCAGGCAAAGCCACCAGTGCTGAATTGAGTAGAAGAATCAATTACTTGATTTGCAAGTAATCCTTCTGTTAATACAATCTGGTATATTCTTGGCTTTTTCACAACAAGAGCACACTGACTAGTATTCAAATTATGGTCTACTGTAACTCCCAGGTTCTTCTTTGCAGTACTACAGCCTACCTAATCATTCCCCAGTCTGTATTTTTGCATGCAATTATTCCACCCCAAGTGCAGGATTTTGGTCTTGTCCTTGTTGAATCTCATCTGACTGATTGCAGACCATTTCTCCAAGTTACATAAATCATTCCACATCCTTACCCTACACTTGGAGAATGCCTACAACTCCACCCAACTAGGTGATGTTCTCAAATTTGCAAAGTGTGCACTCAATCCCATTGTCTGAATAATTTAATGAAGATAGTAAACAGCACTAGACCCCATACAGACACCTGGGAGAACCTCACTTGATGCCTCCTACCAACTAAGCATCGAGCTATTGGTGACTGCCTGTTGAACACAATGACCCAACCAGCTATGTATACACATGACAATACTTTCATCTAGTCTTCATCTAGCAGTAACTTTACTGAGGAAGAAAAGGTTACTAGAACTAAAAAAGAAAAACTGACAGACAATATGGAGCTCAAGAACTTTGGAATTCCAAGTAGGTGAGGCATTTGGAATTGCTATCACATTCACTAATAGCTAGATAAAGAGATAAATTGTTCTCCAAAATCATATAATTGAATCACTCTGTGGCCAGGGACAGACATTGTACATAAACTGGCATAAGTGATCAGGAAACTGGTTTAAACCTGTAACAGAACAGACATTCAGTGCACATTAACCAGTTTAAAAATGGCTGAAACTGGTTTGAGAGGCACGTGGTTGAAAGTAGTTTTAGACTTAAACTGGTTTGACCCGAATCAGTTATGCAATGTCTGTACCAGACCCCTTCGTGGGTTAAGTTAAATCAGACTACCCCAGCATCCCAGTTGCTTTGCAACTCTGGGCATGGTTCTGCTCTCTGCACCAGCCCAGCAAGGCTGGCCCCTCCTCTGCTCCCTGGGTAGAGCTCTGGCAGAGACTGCAGGCATCTGCCTGGCTTCCTCCTGCTCCCCCTCCTCCCTTTCACCACTCCCTGCTCAAACAGGGATTCCCCCATCTCCTCTGCCACATGCAGACTCCTCTCAGCATTAGCTAGCTTACCATATGCTGCCTATGCTCAGTGCTGTGGGAGATGGGCCAAAGGCAGACAGGACAATGTCAGCTTAGGGCTTTTTGGAGCTAATCAACTGGTAGATTGTAATGTCCCTCTGCTCCTTCCTTGGAAAAAATTGTTTAGAAAGAGCTCAAACTAATGAGAGAATCTGTTTTGCTGATGGGCTGAAAAATGCTAACAACTCCCTGTGAAACTCCCTGCTGTGTAATTGAAGCTCTGTTATCAACAGTATGGGGGGAACCCCTCCCTAATCAGTGTCCTGATGGGGCCTGACCACACCCCTGCCCCCAGCTCAGCGCTGAAGAAGGGAGGGGAGGGAAGCTCTAGTACTCCTCCCAGCCTGGCTTCTAGCATGAGCCACTGCAGGCCTGTGCCTGGATTTCGTGAGCCTAGAGGGGGATCTCTATGCAGTTACAAACCAGTTTAGCTTATCTAGGTTAGACTAACCTGCAAAGATTGATCCAATTTACTCTTGGGCTTTTTGAATGTCTGTCTCTAGCCTACAAGTTCCTCCACAAAAAAGTTTTGTTACCTCAGCTTTAATGACAAAGGCCCTGACACCTTACTGGGGTCACCAGACCCCAGTTGTCTTTCCTGCTTGGTGCAGGGGCGCTGGACTCAATCTTCTGAGCACCCTTCCAACCTTACAATCTATGAATGTGTTGGCACTGGATTTATGACCCAGATACCTTGTTCGGGTGGACCCAAGCCCTCAGACTGACCACAGATTTTTAAAAATTTGATAATAGGCAAGTTTTATTGATAGGCAGTGATAACAGGTAAGAATAATGCAGGCAAGGCAAACAAACTAACACCCCCGCCTTTTACCTCCCACCCCATTTTATTTCAGATTTACCAGTCCTCGGGTTGTTATAGAGGGAAGGTACATTTTTCACAAGCTTCACCTTGTGATTTTTTTCTTGAATAATTAGATGTTGGCAGCCTGTAGGTTGAGGGCTGAGGCACCCCCGCCCCCCCCACCCAGTGGAATGGGTGAGATGGGCAGGTGGTGTGCTCCTTATCCATGGTGACCTTGGGTTCCCCCCTCAGGGGCCCTTTGCTGCTCTGAAATTCCTTCTTTTGTTTTCTTTTCCCCTTCCTGATGACTTCATTTCTGGGTACCACTGATTTGGTTTCCCTGTGGTTGTCATAGTCATATTTTGTCCTGTCAGCATATTCTCTTGTTTCAACAAACCCATTACATGCACACATCTTAATTTGGTCATTTACCAGTGTCTTAATTTAGTCCATCCACCAAAGTGGAAATCCCAAAGGCTCTGCAGTTGGTCACTGTGACCTGGTCACTGCAGCAGAGTCCCTTATCTGTTATAGAACAGTTTCCAAGCCTGTGTCTGCTGGCTTCAGATACAGTGGGCCTTGAATGAAACTTAGTCATAAACAGGATTTTAGAAGCCAATTAACCCTTGCTGGTCCTCTGGACCATTGTTTAGTGTACTATCTATTTTACCTACAAATCATTTTCTAAAAGCAAACTTCCAAATATAATTTTCTCGCCATTAGCCTGGAGAGAGTATTAAAGTGAAGTACTAAATGCTACAAGGTTATATTGACAGAGATGCCTTGTTCAACTTGTGTCTGTTTCTTCTGTGGCAGCACTAGATCACACTGTGGTTTCAAGAAGATTAAGGAACAATGTTGGGTAAAACTTCCCAAAGCATAATCTCTCTAAAAGCACGTTTCATTTATTTTCTACTTTTAAACTGTGATATGTGCTAATTAAATCATTGGAGTTATGCTTTAGTCAGAGTTGGTTACAGTGCAAAAATTCTGTGCATTTAAGGTGGTGTGTCCCATTTATCATGGTAAGTATTTGATTCTTAAAATGCCTTAGATGCTTTTTTTTTTTTATTCTTTACAAAAATACATAATGGAAAAATGTTTTTATTACAGGTACAACACACCATTCAAGGCACAGATTCAAAAATGGGTATACTACCTTTCCAACACAACAGACGTAATTGAAAACTGGATGACAGTTCAGAACTTGTGGATTTACTTGGAGGCTGTTTTTGTAGGAAGTGACATTGCAAAGCAGCTTCCAAAGGTTTTTGAATGACTTTTTAAATATTTAGTAAATTGTATTTAAAAGATTTAATTAAATAGTGACGGATAACCATTCCTGAATTGCAGATTTTACAATTCTTGCCAAGTCATCTTTGTTCTCTGGCCTTATTCATGTGTTGCAGTAAGTTTATCTGACCAGTTGCATGAAAGTCTGAATCCTACTTTTTAAGAAGTACTAGTTCAGGTTATGGACTTATGATGTGACATCATTTACCAAGGAGTCTTTTAAGAAATTGATTTGTGTACAAGTTTTGAAAAGAAATAAAGGAATGCACACAACTAAATCTTGTATTTTGTGGAGAAACAAACTAGGGTGGCCTTCAATTCATTGAATTCATGTGACATAAATGGTCCCTCTAATTACTAGCTGCCAAACCGTAGTGTGCCTAGATAACAAAATAATAATTCATATGTGAAAAGTGCAAGAAGTTAAAATGACATTATACAATATAAGGATCTTCATTTGTATCTGTGGGTTTCATATTTTAGATACTCATTTTGTTATATAAAAAGGGGAATTATCAGGCATCTAAATATGAAGGTGCATGTTACTTGCATAGATTGTAAGAGGAAATTATTACAAGTACTGGCAACTATGCTTGAATTCTACATGCAAAGGCACTAATCTTAAGTACAGCACAAAATCCAGTTGTATATGAGGTAACATTAAAATTGTAAATGAAAATGTGTTAGATCCATCATTTTTAAAGTTGAGACATGGCAGCTATTTTGTTAGCTTCCTTGAGAAAAGGCAGGCAGCAAATGGAGACACTGGGCTTTATTCTGGTGACTTAAAGTGTAGAAATCTCTACAGCATGATAGTTTGCAGAAATTGACCTTCTATGGGGATAGGTGACCAAAGCTGAATGTTTAGGAGACCAAATTAATAACCTCAATTGCATTAATAGCTGCTTTTCCTCTTATTCCTGCTAGGAAGCCAAGCGTTTTTCCAACATAGATAAATCATGGGTGAAGATAATGACACGGGCCCACGAGACAATGAATGTGGTACAGTGCTGTGTGGGAGATGAAACCATGGGACAACTGCTGCCACACTTACTAGAGCAGCTAGAAATCTGTCAAAAGTCACTTACAGGGTAAGGTTCCTAAAAGGTCATGAGCAAAAAGTGCTACTATATTTACTCACATCCAAGACAAGGACCCCTTCCAAATAGAATGGGATGGGGGAGAACCTTGTCTTGGATTTGAGTACTGGCTGGGGCAGGCAGCAGCTCAGCTCCAGCTTTGGTCCTGGTCTTGGGGCCCACCATTCCTGTGATGGGCTGGAATGTTTGTTTGGCTGGGGGGAAATGTGATGAGTGTGGAAACCTGCAGCCTTCCCTCTGCCCTGCCCCCACCTGCCCCCTCCCCCATTACCTGTTCTGGTCCCTCCAGCCCTGACCCAGCCCAGCTTAGAAGTGTTGCTGCTTCTCTCTGTTTGGTTCGAGCTGTGTGCCCCAACCTGGAGCATAGCTGCTGCTGTATGGGCAAGTGGGCAGAGAATGGGGGAAGGCAGGTTACAGTGGGGAATGGGAGGTTGTGGGGGCAGGCTGTAGGGAGGAATGAAGTGAGGAAATAGGCTGCAGGGGTAGAGGGTGGGGAGGCAGGGGGTGGGGAAGGCAGGCTGCAGTGGGGAGCAAGAGGTGGGGTAGGCAGGTTGTAGTGGGGAGAGGGGGTGGGGAGGCAGGGAGAGGGGGGGCAGGCACACATGGGGGCAAGGGCGGGGAGGCAGGCACAGGCAAGGAGGGGCAGGCAGCAAGCGGGGACATGGCCCATGGTGGGGGACAGGTAGCAGGCAGAAAAGGGGCAGTGGAACAAGGGGCAGGGGTCTAGTTTCTCATATCCCCACTGCTGCTTTCCCTGCCACAACAATATGGGCAGGGGGACACAAATATAGAATGTAATTAGTGGAAGGTCATTTTAAATCTAGAATAGTATTTTACAATTTTCCAGGTATAGAATCTAACTATTGGTGGGTTGTATTAAATTCGAAGTAGTCTTGTATTAATCTGGGTAAATACAGTAAATAGTTTGGTATTGATTTGGGTAAATATAATAAATTATCTAGCTGCAGGACTAGAAAAGAGGGTGGTTCCTTCAGTGTTTGGTCTACTCGGAGTGGAGCCAGGCAGAGTTTAGTCACCTTGACACAAGAAAAATCGGGAAACAAATTACTGAAACTTAAACTTGAGGTAAGTGCTGCAAGAGGAGGGTAATAAGTCACTTTCTGGATAGTAGCATCTGACTACAGAGGCCAGTAGGCCTGTACACTGCCTGGTTCCTGTGGAAGCTAACAGAATGTCCAACCCAGTCAGTTGGATGGGCAAGCAAATTGATGAAATACATGTACGCCTTAATCTGAATCTTCTCGAGTGTGTTGACAGGCTGACTGTGAATAGTGAGAAAAATGTACTTCCTTCAAAAAAATCTTTGTTTAAATTTTAGTAGCCTTTTGCCCCTTCAATTTGACCTTTATTAAACAATGGCTACTTTCTGTGAAATCATATCTAATACAAAAGAATAACATCAAAGGCACTCTTAAACCATCATGGTATGATGCGTCTGAACTGCTGTTGTATTAGCATTAATGAAAACTATACTAATGTGGTGTATTCAGAGAGCTTGGTCTTCCATCACCAAAGGGATAAGTCAAAGCTCACCTTAAGGCCATACTGAATACATTACCATGATAAGGCTTGTGACTTTTTTTTTTCCTGTTTTCAACTCCAGGTATCTGGAGAAAAAACGACTCCTTTTTCCTCGTTTCTTCTTTGTATCTGACCCTGCTCTTTTGGAAATTCTTGGCCAGGCCTCAGACTCTCACACAATACAGGCCCACCTGCTCAATGTGTTTGACAACATTAAAACAGTCAGGTTCCATGAAAAGGTATGAACAGCTCTAATCTCACCAGTCTCTGTAACAAATCAGCAACCAATGCATATCTCTTTGTTAAAAGCTAAGCTTTATGATAGTGAGTGGAGCATGCGACAGATACGCCAAGGCTCATGTTCACTAGTTCTGGTTAGGTTTTTATCTCTCTGGAGATTTGGGTTCCCAGACTTACCTTATTTGACAGGTAAATTTATGTATAGAGTAGGACTCTTACTTCAGAAGACTTTCACCAGCAACTGTATTTTAAGCAGAAGAAAAGCAAACCCTGCCTCCTGCAGTTTAAAACATTGATTAAAAGGGAATTTGAGTTTCTAAAAAAGTAAAGCCTGCCATGATAATGAGTCTCTCTTGTCTGAATGTTTCCAGTGGGAAAACATAACCTGCACTATGTAAGCTGAGGTATTTGTATTATGTTATATTAAAAAGCATTCTCTCTTCACTCCCTGCCTTTTCTTTCCTTGGTGTTGGTTCCAAAAGTTAACTTTTAGGTTATTGATTTTAAGGCTAAACTTCAAAATCTAGGATGTTTGAGATGTGAAACTGAAATCCAGGTAGAACAAATTTGCCTAGAAGTAAGTTCTGCAAAGAAAAATATATAAAGGCTAAGTGTTCATTACTGGGGACTGCTGGCTGTTTTGTTGAAATCCTTGCCATGGACATTTCTCTCCAAATGCTTTATCATGCAAGTGACATACCATGAGTTTACTTTGGTAATGCTTTGGAAAGACACGTACTGTCAGTGGCCATCATGTTCAGAACATGTTATAATTGCCAATACAATTCCCTGTGAATGGAATGTAAATCTATTGGTTTCTTCCCTCCCACCTGTTCCCAACATTTTTGATAGGAAAATATCAGTATTACAGAAGTAACTGCATGTTTTAGAAGTATCAGTCCTATTGAATTGGTGTTCTAAGCCCTTCAAGCAATTCAGAAAAATCTCTTCCTGAGACTAGCACAACCTTGAGATGAAAGCACTTAGCTAGTATTAAATACTCATTTGATTTCTGTAATATTCTCTGTGTTACTTTTGAGCAAGTCCCTTAATGCACTTTGTTCCACAGCTTCCCACCTTTCATCTGTTGCCCTGATTTCAAGACTAGAAGCTGCATTGTTGTGTATGTGCAGCATTTAGATGAGTGGGACTTAATGATCAGTTGGGGAATCAAGCAATTCTTAAACAAAACAAAACCAACCCCCTGCTCCCCAAAAGGCATGACCAATTTAGTTGCCTTAATTGTATTTGTCCTCTGAAGTATCGCTTAAGCACCACTGAAATAGCATCATGGTTCAGATGAAGCCTCTTGGTATTCATCTTCATTTCCTTATCTTTCTTCATAGCACATGACATTAGATCAAAATAAAATGTCCAGTTAAAAACTGGGCATGAAATAAATATTATGAAAATTTATTTGATGACCAAAGTTGAGAAAAATGAACATGCATCCACTGTATTTTCTGTGCTGAAACATCTTGTTTTTATTAGGTATATGATCGTATTCTGTTGATTTGCTCTCGAGAGGGTGAGGAAATTGAGTTGGATAAACCCGTAATGGCTGAAGGTAATGTGGAAGTTTGGCTCAATTCCCTTTTGAAGGAATCCCAGTCCTCATTACATCATGTAATTTGCCAGGCAGCCACAAATATTCAGGAAACTGGATTTCAATTAATAGAATTCCTCTCTACTTTTCCAGCCCAGGTAAGGTTCTTAAAATGGGTGAAGGATTGCCTACAAATAACTGTAATTTCTTAGGTTACCATGCTTTAGTTATATGTTTTAAAAAAAAAAAAGGAAAAAAAATAGAGCTGGCATTTAACAGGGCAAAACTTGAAGGGTATATTTTAATGTCCTTTTAGAAAGTAGTAGTATTGTTAATTTAGTTGTGCTCATGAGGCATCTAGAACCTACAGAGAGAAACTGCATCCTAGAACACTATGAACAGTTAAAACTTAACCTCTGTGCATATAAAATAGTGGTAGTGGAGATATTTTTTTTTTCAAAAGCTTAGTACCACAATGTTAAAAACAGAAACCATAATAAAATTATTCCAGTTAATTCTGTGTTTCTGAACACAGAAAAAACAGTAGTATATTTGAAAGTTTGCTTTTGACAAACAGTTCGTGCTTCCTATTCATGGGGCTTTGGCATACCAGTAGAAATAAATGTTAAGAAAATGCATTTCTAAAATTGGAGCATAATATTATCAGTTTGACTGTTTAATTCATGCTTTAGTCTAAACTGATTGGCACAAGAATCATTGCAGTTGAGTGGTATTAAAGATCTGAGTGACAACCTTGACTGCTACTTCCTGCATGTGACTGGGCAAAGTGATGGAGGACCTAGTTTTTATAGATGTTGAGCACTCAGGCTTCCATGCAAGTTGATGGAAATATAGGATACTCAATATTTTTGAGAAGTCATTATTAGCTGAGTTGTGCTTGTTGCGGTCCAGTAGGGAGTGCGCCTGCACTGAGCCACCTACCTCACTGCACCTGACCACCTTTTGGGCTCTAAGTGCCTCCCTGGGGGACCTCACATCTGGCTGACCCAATTCTTGGAGCACACCCACTAGCCTGGGGGTAATGCCACCACCACTGAGTCTGGACTGATCCTGGCCTTATGCCCCCTGGGAAACACAGGCCTGGTAGTCTTTGAGGGTACTCAACCCACTCCAAGAACTTGGGGTGCTTCTGTTAGTCTGAAGCACAAATAATGGTCTCCCTTAGCTGAACCAAGGGGTCCCCAAGGCATAATCTAGACCCACTCCCAATAAGTCTCCCATGTTGGGTACAAATGAGAATTTTATTGGTTACAAGGAGTAAGTTTGGAATAGGGTACAGGGTAGAGCAATATCAAAGAAATTTCATAGAGCAAACAGGGTGGCTGGGTAGCCTTTGATCATGCATCTGAGTTTTACTGTAAGCTATATATCTAGTTAGATCTCAGGTATCTTACAAGTATCATCCAGAGGCAGGTGGAGATTTCTTCTGGAGGCAGGCAGTCTGTTGATCATGAGTTTCAAGATAGAGAGCAAGTTTCAGATGGCACAGCTTCTTTCTGAGGTTTTGTTTGTTTGTTTGTTTGTTTGTTTTATCATGACTACTGCTTCTCCTCCTGGGCAGTCCTTTAACTTATAGCCCTTATGACCTCATTTACCTGGTCCAATGAAGGCCAGCACCTGTTGGCTGCCAGCCAACCGATTTGAAATGCATCACTAGTTGCTGGGTAGACTGGCATTGCTTAGAATAGTAGGGAGCCTAAGCCCCCCCACCAAGGTATGTGATGCCAGTCAAATAGGCAGAGGAAGCAGGTTTGCTCCATCCCTCAGGAATGTATCCAACTTGGGTTACAACTCTGGATTGCCTAAAGAGATGGGATGTCTGCCCCCTGCAGTGACCATGTTAACCAAATTGTCACATAAGAGAGTTTTTGGGCAGAGACAGAGGTGACAGTCTGCTACAGTGCTTCCCTGTTTTGTGTAAAGCTCAATGGTACATGTGTTTCCCTGTGGGGTCACGCCAACTTTCGGGATCTCAAAATTGCTCTGTTAGACAGGAGGGTGTGAAACAATTGCACCTCTAAAAATCAATTTGACGTATGCGCGCGCACACGTGCACATACACATGTGCACACTACCAACTTAGCCACATACACATCCAATATTACCAGCCTAGGCACATGCATAGCTATCACCAAGTTAAGCACATACACACCAAAAATTAGACAACAATCAGTTGTCAATACCCACACACTCAGTACACATGCACAGATCACTAATTCATATATCATGTACACAATGAAATATTTGTTCCTAATTTGCATGGTAAGGTGTGTATGTGTGTGCTTGGGGTACTTGGGATACCCAGGGGAAGGTTAAGGTGAGAGAGAGTTAAAGTGTAGTAAAAGTTGCCAGGACTGGGATTAGAACCAGTAGACTAGAGAGAAGCTGGGCTGAGGAACTGAGGCTTGGGGTTACTTAAGGTCAAGTGGCCCCAGGGTTACTTGAGGTCATTGGTGCTGGGGTGGAAGCAAGGGAAAAAGCCCAGTGGCAAGTAGGAGATGGCTAGGAAACAGACAAACCAAACCAAACTCAGGGTTTCAAAATTATAGGTTTATTAAGTAGACACTCACTGACTCACTCTGGGAGCAGGAGAAAGAGACTCAGTGGAAGGGTTGGAGTCCAGATAGGGAAGAGAAGCAGAGTCCAAGTCCTTTACTTGGGGAAGGAAGGTGGGAGATAGCTACCTATCCTGGGCTGTGAGTTGATCCTCGATGGCTAGTTGGGGTCTTCTCCAGCAAGGTGTTGTCCAGAGGGGGGTCACTGGCAGGGCTTCTGGGTGGATAGATGGTGTGGCATGGTGCTGATCCAGATGGAGGGCATCCCACTGGGTCTGTCTTCACTGCCCCCTTTTATAGGGGCAGACCTCCTATGATCCTAGTGGCAGGGGCATGCCCAGGTAAGAGTCAGCCCCTGGTGTATGGAGCATGTGCACTCTTAGGTAAGGACATGCAGTTTCAGGTGTCTGTAATGGTGGGTTGACTGATTTTTCTGCAGCAGTCTTTGTCTTCCAAAACTTGAGGCAAGGAGGGATCAATGCAGGGTGATGGTTGGGTCATCAAGTTGATGGTTCCATCATTCAGAGGAAGCTATTTTTTAGACCTACTGCCATTTGTCTCTGAAGCACCCTCATTCATCCCCATTCATTTAGGGACCAATTTACATAGGAGGGGTGGGTATGAGTCATAGGTTACAACATCTTACACAACAGGACATGGGGACAAGATGGGAACAAGATGGGACCCTGATGCACAAAATGGATACTTGATGTCACTCATTCCAACCCACATTTCAGACCTAAATCATACAATGTTAATATGAAACAATAAAACTCAATACACAAATGATAGGAATACAATATAATGCAACATAACAGTAAAAATCAATATAAACATAACAGAACACTATTTACAATATAAAAAGGGGCTTATTACAATAATAGCTTACAAGAACTTAGCTTACCTAGTACTACTTGTAATCACTTATAAGGGATAGAGAGGGCCGAGAGGGTCAGAAATGGTTAGGGGAAGGGGAGGGAATATATCTTTAAATAAAAAAGAAAAAAAAAAAGAAACTGTGGGTTTTGCTACATGTGACTTCATTAAAGTTTTTTGAGATCTGCTGGTAAGCAGTGCTGTAACATTGAAAAGAAGTAGTCACTAGTTGGGGCAAGAGAAATGGCAAAGGAATGTTGATGGAAAAAATATCTCTTCAGAGATCAGGTACCCCAGTCTTTTTCAAAAGCGGTCACAAAATTTTTCATATCCTGGCTTTTAAATATGATTATTCAGGTAAGTGTATATCCTAGATGAATGCATGAGTAACATTTCAAAATGCAATGAAAGATTTATAGATAATATATATGTTCACTACAAATAACCCTTTTTCTCAGACCATGCTATTTCATGTTTTGCAAGGTTGGGTTACTGGGAATCCAAATGATTTGGACAAGGGACTCAGAAGAAGCTTTGTCTAATGCCCGGTATGATAAAAAAATAATGCAGAAGACAAACCAGTTTTTCTTGGACCTACTTAACACTCTGATAGACATGACAACAAAAGACCTTAGTTCAGTTGAACGAATTAAATACGAGACACTAATCACTATCCATGTACACCAGAGGGACATCTTTGATGATTTAGTAAGTATTGTGAATTTCGCTTTAAGCAACATTAGTCTTTTGAAGAACGTTAACTAATGTGCTGTTACAGTCCAAAACGTGGCTGGATGCAAGTTTGGAGATACCACAATTGTACATATCCCTACCTGAAAGTGGCACTGTTTCCAACCTATAGCAATAACTTTCTGAGATACTGCCTACATTTCTGAAAATCACACTATACTTCTGTGGATAAAAATAAGTCACTAAAGTGACTTACAGTCAAGACTGATGAATTCTTAGTTTTTAAAACTTAAAATTGTAAGGAAAAAAACCGTCCATTTGTTATTTAAAAGATGGGCCCTGATTTTATAATTGTTCTGTGCACTTACAAGTTAACTTGCACAGATGAAGTTCAGGGCCAGACTAATATGCCCACAGTTGACCTTGATGCGTGCATCCCAAGGCAAGTACAAGTGTCAATTCAAGAGGAATAGTGAAGCTTTTAGGATACCTTTCTTTTAAAATGTTTTAATTCCACAAGTTTAGTTAAAATTCTTCAAGCAATTCTACCTTCTATAAGTCATTAAATAAGACTTGAAATAAGCTGAAAGGTTCTAGTGTAGAATTTATTAAGGATGGTAAATGGCCCAGAACTGACAAAATTAATAATTTGCATTGACTGAATCAGTTCTTGCTGTCAAAGCCTCCAAGAGAGCCTTAGTTTAAAGGACAATTAAGTCCACAAGATAAATGTCTCTTCATCACCACTTAGAAAAAATGCTTAATTTAGGATTGTAGCTTACAAATAAATGAGGAGGTAATATTTAATATATCATATCTCAGCAATGGAGATAACAACATTTCTGTCTCAATACTGGCTTGTTGGAATAAACTGCACCTCTTATCTGCTGGCAATCCAAAATGGGACAGATACTATAAAAGGAAGACAACAGCATGTTCTTTTAAGAACTTGATCCCTCTCTCCTCCTTCCACAAACATTCAGGACAAAAATGAGTGAATTTGCCAACTGTATATTTTATATATTTTCAAATTCAACACACTAAGGCTTTGCATCTTAATAGATTTTGTAGACGTTGGGGCTGGAAGGGACCTCAAAGATCATTGAGTCCAGCCCCCTGCCCCAGGGGCAGTAAGTCAGTTAGGGTCAAAGGATCCCAGCAAGATCAGCACCCAAGCATTTGTTGAATGAGTCCAGAGTAGGTGACTGCACCACTTCTGGAGGGAGTCTATTCCAGGTCTTGGGGGCTTGGACAGTAAAGGAATTGTCTTCTGTCCAGCCTAAAACTGTCTTGAAGGAGTTTATGACCATTGGTCCTTGTTTTTCCTTGGGGTGTTCTGGTGAACAGACATTCTCCCAGGTCCTGATGTATACCCCTTATGTACTTATAGGCAGCCACCAGGTCCCCCCTGAGCCTGTGCTTTTCCAGGCTGAAGAGTCCCTTGGCTCTCAGCCTCTCTTCATAAGACCTATTCTCTTGCCCTCTGATCATGTATGTGGCTCTCCTCTGTACTCTCTTGAGAAGCTTAAGATTCTTCTTGCATTGTGGAGCCCAGAATTGGATGCAGTACTCCAGCTGCGGCCTCACCAAGGCCAAGTACAGCAGGAGGATGACGGCCTGGGATTTGCTTGAAGTGTCTATGGATTCAAGCCAGAGTTGTTTGCTTTAGCAGCTGCGACAGCGCATTGGTGGCTTATGTTCATCTTGTGGTCAATCATGACCCCCAAGACTTTCTTTCAGCAATGGTGCTAGCAAACATAGCACTGCTGAGCCTATAAGTATGCTGCGGGTTTTTTTTTTTTTTCCTAGGTGGAGAACCTTACATTTATCGGTATTGAACATCAAGTTTCTATCTGCCCACTTACTAAGTTTATCCAAGTCAGCCTGAATCACTAGCTTCTCTTCAGGTGTGGACGCTATGCCCCAAAGTGTAGTGTCATCAGCGGACTTGGCCAGTGCGCTTCTGACACCAATGTCCACATCATTGATAAAGATGTTAAAGAGAACTGGTCCAAGGTCCAAGCCTTGGGGGATGCCACTGGTCACAGAGCGCCATAATGATTTGCTACCATTGACCACTACTGAGGCCAACATCAGAGCCAATTTCACAGCCAATGGACTGTGGTGTAGATGAGGGCACAGTTGGTCAATTTTTCCATGAGGAAGTCATGGCACACCAGATCAAAGGATTTTTTTAAAAGTCCAGATATATGAAATCAATCTCTTCTCCCTTGTCCAGGTGATACGTCACCTTGTCATAGAAGGAGATGAGCTTGGTCGGGCAAGACGTACCCATGACCCAATTTCACAGCCAATGGACTGTGGTGTAGATGAGGGCACAGTTGGTCAATTTTTCCATGAGGAAGTCATGGCACACCAGATCAAAGGATTTTTTTAAAAGTCCAGATATATGAAATCAATCTCTTCTCCCTTGTCCAGGTGATACGTCACCTTGTCATAGAAGGAGATGAGCTTGGTCGGGCAAGACGTACCCATGACAAAACAGTGCTGGCTGTCCCTCAGGATGTTGCCCTCAGCCAGCTTATCCAGAAGGGTCTCCTTGATAATTTTCTCCAGAATCTTACTGGGGATTGAGGTCAAGCTGACTGGCCTGTAATTCCCAGGATCTACTTTCCACCCTTCCTTGAAGATGGGTACCACACTGGCCTTCTTCCAGTCTTCAGGTACTTCACCCGAGTGCTACGAGTTTTTGAATATTTTTGCCAATTGTTGGGCTATGACACCTACCAGCTCCTTGAGTACTCTAGGGTGTAATCTGTCAGGACTAGCTGACTTGGAGGTGTCCAGCCTCTCAAGGTGATCCTTTACTAGATCACCTTGATCTTAAGTCTGAAATATGCTTAATCTGGTGCAGCTGACCAAATTAGACATATTTTCAACTGCGTCATGTTGTTGCTTGTGAGTACTGACTTATTTCCTACTATTTTCGTCAGCTCTTTCTTAGTAATATCATTTTATATGTGATCAGCCCACGCATGAGTCAGAGTTGGAAATGAGTAGAGAATTGAGTTTTTAGATATCCCACCTACCAGAGTTAGGGACAATCTTGGGGATAGCTCGATCAAGCCTTCAGTCAGTGTAGATGTAGTTTGGGATCTTCTGGAAGGGCTAGACGCTTTTAAATTTGCAGGTCCAGATGCCCTCCACGCAAGGGTTGTTGAGGGAGCTGGCAGGGGTCATTGCGGAGCCTTTGGCCCAGCTGCATGAGCATTCATGGTCATCTGGCCAGGTGCCGGGGGATTGGAAACTGGCTAATGTGGTCCCTATTTTTAAGAAGGGGAGGAAGGAGGACCCAAGTGATTATCCCAAGGTGAGCCTGTAAGCCTCACCTCGGTGCTCGGGAAGCTCTTGGAGAGGATCATCAAGGAGCATATCTGTGGGGGGCCTGCAGGGGAGATCATGCTCAGCGGCAATCAGCATGGCTTCACCAAAGGCAGGTCCTGCCAGACCAACCTGATTGCCTTTTACGACCAAGTAACTAAATCCTTGGATGATGGTGTTGCTGTGGACATAGTCTTTCTAGACTTTAAGAAGGCTTTTGACACTGTCTCTCACCCCATCCTCATCAATAAATTGACTGTGGCATTGATGCCTGCACAGTTGGATGGGTAAAAAATTGGCTGATGAGGTGCACCCAGAGAATAGTGGTAGACGGGTTGTACTTAACCTGGTGAGATGTGAACAGTGGGGTTCCTCAGGCCTGCACTGCTTAACATCTTCATTAGCGACTTGGATGAGGGGGTGAAAAGCACGCTGTCCAAGTTTGCTGATGACACTAAGATGTGGGGCGAGATGGACACACTTGAAGGGAGAGAGAGGCTGCAACTAGATTTAGACAGACTACAAAAGTGGGCAGACGAGAATAGGATGGAGTTCAACGTAGACAAATGCAGGGTGCTGCACCTCGGGAGAAGGAATCCACAGCATACATACAGGCTGGGGAGTTTCCTTCTTGAAAGCACAGAGGCAGAAAGGGATCTCGGAGTCATTATTGACTCCAAGATGAACGCGAGCC